TATATAATTTTATTCATGCATTAGAAGAAAAAGATGGTAAATCATATTCTAATATATCTTGGAAAAAGTGATTCATACATTCTTCCCATATAGAAGTATTTTGAACTTGAGATATATTAATTATTTTTTTTTTATTGCAGAGCATTGGCTTTTTGAGTCTAGACCCAGGTCATGATTCAAAGAAAAGGTAAAGTCTTGAGAAAGCTGAGCTTTGAGTCTTTGACTCATCTCTAATTTATCATCTAATAACTTGCTTTGCAAGAAATTATCCTTACTAGATAGACTAAAATCTGAGCTAAAACCTGTAGGAGCATACCATTCTTCTAATAATACATTATTATCCTTACTAGATGGACTAGAAGAATCAGTAGATACTTGGACCAAGGAAGCAGAGCTTCGAGTCTTTGACTCATCTTGCTTGTAAAAAGTTAGATTAATTTCTGGTTTAAATATCTCTCTCTGGAACTTATGTACTGAAAGAGATATAGTAATTACTTTACTTTTATGTATTAACTTGAATTCACGTTTAACAATAGGCTCCTATCCAGAATGATCAAGCAAAGGAGTGCCTAATAATATCTAAGGTTTATTATCATCCATTACTGGAAAGTCTTCTGTAATTGTACAACTATTATCTCCATAGCCAAAAGTAATTAGTACATTATAACAAGTTCTAATAGATTCTAAAGAATTATTATGTCATTTTACAGAAGGTTTTTTATTTTTGTCAATATTCATTCCTAATAGTTTTGCAAAACCTTTTGATTTTAGAGAGCAGTTTGCTCTACTATCTATTAATGCACCAGGTACTTGAATATTTTTTCCTGATAGTGAAGTAATTTAGCAAGTAATAGTTGCAACATCATTAAGAATAATTTTACGAATAAAATTAATTTCTATAGGATTTGGCCATAAAATTTCTGCTTCTAGTTGTATCTCTTCTGGGGCTGTTTTGGGTGATATATTTGTTTGCTGAGAAGCAATTCGAATTAGATCTAATATTGGTTGCAAGATGTGAGAGAATATCATAGTAATCTCATGCCAAAACTTTTCTCATTCCTTGTTAGAGAAATTCAAAGTAAAATGATTTAAAACAGGATCTTTTAATGCAATGAATTTGGCATTAATCATATTATAACTATTAATTGAGACTTCTTTAGGTTGTGTATGAGTAAATGAATTAACCATTGATCGTAAAATAGTGAAAAATGCATTTAGGCTAATATTATCTGTAGGAATTTTAAGTGACCTAGTATTGCGAAGCAATGACCTTTCAGGTCTAACTTTACTATCCTTTTTATTAGAGGCATTACTAGATTTTTTAGTAGAAGTTTTATTGCTTCGCAATGACCTTTCAGGTTCTGACCTGGCACTTTTGTACTTCTTTGATCTCTTGCTATCAGAAAAAGTTATTTTTTTTTTTATGGTATTGATTTCGTATTCTTCTGAATCATTTTCTGAATTACTAGACTCACTGGTTCTAGAGAAATCTGATTCTGATTCATTCCATGAACATGCCAAGGTATTGGTTTCAAGTTCATTTTCACTAGATATTGTACTATTTTCGCTATCACTAGAGTCTGAAGATGATTCATCTGAAATTATATGAGCATTAACACGTTTTGATTGACTTGATTTTTTGGTTCTAGATTTGGTTTTGGTTTTGTGATTAGAAGATTTAGGCTTGCTAGAATTCTTTTTTATAGCTTTTTTCATTTTAGTTAGATTGATTTGGAGGTTTTCTAATTGTTTACACATATCTTCTACAGGATCATTATCTGTAACTTTAAGACCCTGTGCGTTATTGCTTCACAATGCTTTCTTTATTGTTGGTTTTGGAGGTAAATCAGGCTTGAGAACAGAAACAAATTCTGGAATCTTCCCAGTAAGCCATTATATTAATCTAGTCATATTCGTATCTTGTATAATTTGAGAGGTTCCTGGTGGTTATGGCCTATAGTATGATTGAGATGGTTGTGAAGAAATCAGTTGAGATAGCACAAAGTGCTGAGTTTTCATTTCTTGGATAGATGGCATCATAGATTTTATCAAGTTTTCAATCTCAGTTTTGGTCATACCCAAATCTGAAGAGTTATTGTCTTTTTTATAAGATTTATCTGTGCCTGAATATAAATATGCTCTAGATAATTGCTCTGTCTTATATCTTTCAATTTCTTCGAGTTCTGTAAGCAATTCAGATACAGGTCTGTTAATTCTAATGCGTCGAATTTCTAATTGATTATCAGGAGAGATACTATGAATAAATTGTAATCGAATTTGTTGTTCATCAATACCAGCAAGTCTAGCAAGTTTACGTAACTTAGAATAAAATTGACCTACAGGATCACTGCCTTGAACTGTTGAACCAAAGAGCATTCGCTGTTTTTCTGCAGTAACTGTGGGATAGTTAGTTTTAAGCCAGTATATTGCCTGCTCAAGTCAAATTCCATCTGCTACTATAGATTGATCACCATTGGCATTAGATAGATTTACAATGCGATCAGTTGGGTACCTATCAGCAAAAGACCAGTCTTTGTCAAATACTGTATAAGCAGGAATAACAATATTTCTGGCCTGGCCTATAGCACTATGTCTTAAATTTGCACCAAGTTGTACTGCTATTCGTCCTTGAGCCAGAGCTAAAGTAGCTTGTCCAGTATTATCTAATAAATTTCTCAATTCCCAATTTTTTCTTCGAAGAGATCTTTCATACCAATCTTTAGCATCACCTTTAAGACATGTTTCAAAAAGACTATGTGCTCGAATTCTGTGAGCATGTCCAGCTGCTACATCAATTTCTATAGCTACAAGATAAGAGTGAAAAGAATCAATAAATTCTTCTGGATCCTCATCGGGATAGCTATAAAAATTTGGAGGTAGATATCCTGCCATTCCTCTATATTGGTTATTTATATGTTAATTATTCTGTAGTACAAAAATTTGTTGATTTAAATTATTAATTAATTGTTCAGAATTTCGTGTTCGAGTTTTCCACTTACTCCACTTGTTATCTAGTTGAATATCAGCAAGTAATAGATCATTTTTTAGAGGTTTGCACTTACTTTTCCATTTGGTATATCGTTTTGTTGTAAGATTTAAGAGATGCATAGTAATTAACACATCTGTTTTGCAATCTTGTAGTTGCTGATAAGTTTGTTTGTTTTTGAATCTTAATGCAAATTTTTCTAAAAGTGATTCTAATATTTGTCTTTTTTGTGTATGAATTGTAATTCGTCTATCAAGTTCTCAAGATTTAAAAATATTATGCTGTGTTCTGTGGGCCTCATAAGCCTGATGAAGAAGATTATAGTCATTTTGAAGTATAGCTAACTGGTTTTGAGAATCAACAAACTGAGTCTGAGAATTGGCTAACTGGATTTGTAAATTAGCTAACTGGGTTTGCAAATTTGCTACTTGATTTTCTGCATTAATTGCATGAGTATTCACCTGTGGATATATATCTAGTACCAATTTTTCAAACCTATTACTAGCATCTGAAATTATATTAAGATAATCTACAATACTATTTATTGTAGGTGCTATTGTGATTGGGCTTTGAAAATACTGTCTAATATTATTAATCTCTCGCTGAATTCTATTATTTTGGATCGTGGCTTGATTTTCAGAAAGAGATAATCTAGGTGATTCTGGTTGTTGTGCTATCTCTATAGTAACATTGGAATTTTTATACAAAATAAGTATTTTTTCATTAAGTTTGTCTATTTCATTTTGAAAAAATACTAACTGCTTTTCTAAATAAGCTATATAATTTTCTCAGTTTTTTGCCTCTTTAAATACTTTTTTTAACTGTTTTATAAGATTAGAAATTTCTAATCTTAATAGATTTAGCTCCTTATCCTGAATTGAGATTTCTTTTTCAAGATATTTAATATAATCTTCTTTAGAAACTAGATCTTGTTGGAATTTGCAAAATCGATCTTGTATTGTCTGCAAATATTCTTTAGCCTTAACTAATCTATTTGATCTTTTATTATGCTCCATCCCTTAATATATATTAATTCTGAAAAAGTGAGAAAACTTGAAATATCTATTGCATTGCAAAAAATATATTATTAACCTTCTGGTTATCAAAGAACTGTTAAGAATCTTTTTAATGCTTCAGAGTGTAGTGGGTTTGATTTTACATTAGCTGAAATAGAAGAATGGCTTGAAAGACAGTTATTACATTTAATTCATAAACCTCGACCAAAGTATATTCCTTGTGCTAGTTTTAATAAAATTACCGTTCCTATGGAAGTTATACAAGCTGATATTCTTTATATGCCATATGATAAAGTAGGATCTATAACTTATATATTTTGTCTTACTTGTATAGATGTAGCATCAAGATATAAATGGGCAGAACCAATTGGAACTACTTTGGATATTTTGAATATAGATGAGCCTTCTTTGGAAGGTATACTAACTTCTGCTATAGTTGCTAAAGTTTTCGTTAAAATTTTTAATAATTCAAAATGTCTTCTTACATGGCCTAAATTATTATTAACTGATATGGGTTCAGAGTTTAAAGGAAGTTGTGAAAAACTTATGAAAGAACATGATGTTAAAATCCAAAAAGCTAGTTTTAAAAGTAGTATGGGTATAGTTAAAAGATTTAATCGAACTTTAGCTGAAAAATTATTTCGTATTCAAGATGCACAAGAGTTATTGCTACCTTTACCTAAAAGATCAAGAGCCTGGGTTAAGAGTCAAAAAACCGAGAAAATTATATAGCTTATTTAGAAAAGCAGTTAGTATTTTTTCAAAATGAAATAGACAAGCTTAATGAAAAAATACTTATTTTGTATAAAAATTCTAATGATACTATAGAGATGGCACAACAACTAGGATCACCTAGATTATCTCTACCTGAAAATCAAGCCACAATCCAAAATAATAGAATTCAGCGAGAGATTAATAATATTAGACAGTATTTTCAAAGTCCAGTCACAATAGCACCTACAATAAATGGTATTGTAGATTATCTTAATATAATTTCAGATGCTGGCAATAGGTTTGAAAGATTGGTACTAGATATATATCCACAGGTGAATACTCGTGCAATTAATGCAGAAAATCAAGTAGCAAATTTGCAAACCCAGTTAGCTAATTCACAAACCCAGTTAGCTGATTTACAAACCTAGTTAACCGATTCACAAACCCAGTTAGCTATGCTTCAAAATGACTATAACCTTCTTCACCAAGCTTATGGGGCCCACAGAACACAACACAATATATTTAAATCCCGAGAACTTGATGGTCGAATTACAATCCGTACACAAAAAAGACAAATATCAGAGTTGTTAGCAGAAAAATTTATATTGCGTCTTTTGAATAGACGAACTCAAAAGCAATTACAAAATTGTGAAGCTAATGGAGCGACAACTGCACATCTCTTAAATCTTACAAGAAATCAATATAACAAATGGAAGAGAAAATGCAAGACTTTAAAAAATGACCTATTACTTGCTAATGTTCAGCTTGATCTCAAGTGGGGTAAGTGGAAAGTCTGAGCCCGAAATTCTGAACAATTAATTAATAATTTGAATCAACAAATATTTCAATTACAAAATAACCCACCAATTTTAGCAAACATGGCAACAATACAAGAAGTAATGGCTGTAGTAACCCCCTTAATTGCACCAATTCCACAATATATTGGCCAAGAACCTCCAGAAGACTATGTTAATAAAATCAAACAGTTATATAATTGTGGTAGTACAGTAGGTGTTGTGGCAGCCTTTAATGATGCTGTAAAAACCCAGATTTTAGCTTTAAAAATGGGAGGAAAATATATACCACCCAATCCATTTAATAATCAAGCAGGAGTTGCAGTCAATACACCAGCATTGTTTTTAGCATGGCTTAATACAGAATATCAAAGAAACAATATCGGTACTCAACAAATCGCAACTCAAAGATTAAACCAAGAAAAATTTACGCCATATGATACTCCAGAAACTTATAAAACAAGAATCAAACCATTTTTATTAGGAGTACCAATTAATGATAACTATGTATTAGGAGTGCTTAAAAATCAATTACCAACAGAGCTTTACAATCGAATGACAATAGCACCTCCAGCAGATATTCCAGCATTCTTTACAAGTCTAAAAAATATGTGGTTAGAACAAAAACCTGATACATTTACATATGAGGGAGGCTCTATTTATACCAATGGAATTTCTCAACTTGCATCATTTCAACCAATAATACAACCCCAGTTTCAGCAAAACTTTCAAAACCCTTCTCAACCAGTAATTCAACCCTAGTTACAGCAAAACTTTCAAACCTCTTCTCAACCAGTAATTCAACCCCAGTTACAAAAAAACGTACCTCCACCTTTACCCCCTGGTCATGAGTATCGACTTGAGGAATTTCATATGAATAATTTTATGGATGACCAAGCAAGACAGATGGGAATTGGAATAACTCCTACCTCATTAAGCAAATTACCACCTGGAGGAAAAATAATTCGTCCAAAGTCTGAAAAAGCCAAAGCCTTACAAGAAATAATGGATTATGCCAGATTGGGTCTTGATATAGAAGATGAAAGACCTTACGATCCAATGGAAATTGATCTTGCTATTGTTAATATTGCAAGAAGGATTGGAGGAAATACTACTATTCCTACTACGAATATAGTTAATGCATCCCGAACTGTTAGAAAAAAGAAACCACCTGTTAGAAAGAGAGTTATTAAAAAGGTTGTTAGACCCAAAAATAAATGAGTAAACTTGGTTACCTATGAAGAAGCAACAGAAGATCCTAATAATGAGGAAGAGGAAGTTTATGAAGAGATAGTTTATGAGGATGAGGATAATGAAAATGTTGAGTATGTAGAAGTTGAAGATAGACTTGAAGAGACGCTTTGTAATAATTCCACTGTAGCTATGAATCTTGTAAAAAAAAAGTAGTTAAAAAACCATTACTAGCTGAGCCGGCTCACAATAATTATAAAAAGATAGAGCAAAAAGTTATTGAGATTTGTAAAAAAATTTTTCAAGATGAGCTTAGAAATATTCTTAATGAATTTAAAACCCTTTTATCTTCTTATAATTTATTACCAGAATTAGCAAGCTCTATGGCTTTAGATGAACCTATGGATATTAATTTAGTACGTTGTCCTGCTAATGATCTTACAACTGCTGAATGTAGAATTAATAATATTTTAATTCCCAAAGCAGTATTGGATGGAGGTGCTCAGTGTACTATGATAAGTAAAAAACTAGCAAGGCGTCTTGGATTAAAAATTGATACAACCAATCCTCCATCTCTCGAGGGAGTTGCCACTGATGCCAGCTCATATGGATGGTGTTATAATGTACCGATTACATTTACAAATAGAGCATTAACAAGAAATACAGATTATACAATGATACATGATGTAATAGTTAGTGATTATGATAAATATGCTTTAATTATTGGCACTGACTGGCTTGATCTTGCTAGAGGTAAAGTAGACTATGAAAAGCGTGAATTTAGAGTTGGCAATATATTTGTTCCTATTTCTGTTCACAGATCAAATATTAAAGTAAACTGCACAACTACAGATCAAGATTCAAAGGATTATTGCTCTGCAATAAAAAAAAAATAATTAATATATCTCAAGTTCAAAATACTTCTATATGGGAAGAATATATGAATCACTTTTTCCAAGATATATTAGAATATGATTTACCATCTTTTTCTTCTAATGCATGAATAAAATTATATA